ACTGTTACTTCGGTTGAATGTAATCAGCACTTCATTTCGATTCGTTCTCTTACATTTGTCCTCGACAAAGACCTTCGAGCACTTCACGTGTTAGTTCGGTTGTCGCTGAGAACTTCGTCAGTTTTGAAAATGACAGAGAAATGCTGGTCTAGATGATTCTCCTTGCAATTTTGGAGGTAGCCAAGCTTCACTCGATTGCAAGAGGTGGGGCGAGGAATCGGAACCAGCGTCTTACTTATCACTTTGCTTACTGATACTTTGCATCGACCAACCACTGCACTCCCCCCCCCCCCTCCAATATGGTGGAATTTACTACTTCGTACCAATCATTCGACTGATTCTCAATCGTAAAGTTGGAGTTTTACCGACCTGGAATCATTCCACGACCATCTGTACAAATTTCGTTGCATGTGTTAACCTTTGACGGACCATATGATATGTTTCGTATCAACCCGCGCGACATCAAATCACATTTAGCTGCTGTAGTGGGGGCTTTCGCGTTTAGCGGGAAGGTAGGCAGACAGCCAGACATTCAATGCACAAACATCCAGATGCTGCTGCCTGCGACTATCGCCCCATGCGACGTTCGCGACGCCGCCGCTAACTGCAAGGATCCTCTAAGTGTTTATTGGCCAGGGACCTGAATCTCGTTCTTCAAAGTCTTCACTGTTCTGACCGTACCAGACATTAGAATAATGATCTCAAAAATCAGTGCCCTTGCCCTTTTGACCACGTTGATCAAGTAGATACTGATTTTGTGCGCATAAAATTTGCCGTCCAAATTGCTCACTTTAATGGAAGGCCAGCCACGTTGTGACTGCATGAGGCGGAAGAGATCAATTCGTGTTTGAAACGATTGACTTGTCTCATGTTTCGAGATAGTGGTCAATTGTAGACTTCCACTTACATAAGGTTGACCAAGCGAATAGCGCAAAGTCCATAAAAACAGATGTACTCGGCCAACGTTCCGACATCTTCATCTTAAGAGCGGACGATTCGAGTCAATTATCCATAGTCGCTCTTCCTCGTTATGGTCTTCATCTTGCTTCATTCGGCTCCGATGTCGTATTTATTTTCATCAAATGCGTACAATTCACTCAGTCAACAAATAATCTGTGATTGGTTGATTGGGAAGAGAGATCAATGTCGTCTCAACAGCAAGTCAATACTTCCGAATTCATGGGTGAGCGTGTGAACCTATACACGACTCCATGGTTGACTGATATGAGGAAGCAAATCGAATGCAAGAAGTGCAAAGACCCGCACAATCGATTGGTGGTGAGGATGTAAACTAAATAAAACTAATAAGAAGCGGTCAACTGTTGTCGCGAGAAGACCAACTTTCGTTGGCCTCGCGTGCGGCGTAGAGCACCTCTAACCACTGCGCCACATGCGCACTGGATAGAGCAACACTAAATCTTATTCACAGTCAGATGCTGAAGCGCAGCGCTGCCCATTTTACAAGCTTCATAGTGAAGCCCTTTGTTGTTATTGTTTCTTGAGTAAATGTCAGAACGACACCGAAACGTACGACATCCGTGAACTCGCTATGCAACACTTCAAAGGGAGCTCGGTCTTGAAATTATTGGGTCTTGAAATTATTGAAGATTGGCCCATCCAATTTTGATAATCATCTAATGAATAGTATGCGTTATTTTAGGCAATAAATGACAATGTACTGGCAATGTGCCATGAGTTTAACGTCGTCAAGTGTGTTTCGTGTCTGTCTACGTGCATATTCCCTGACAAGGTGACGTATCCGATTGACGAAACAATGGTGGGCTGCACGAGATTAGTCATGCTTTCATCATGTCGAAAATGTTTACTTTTTTGTAAGTAAACAAGATGTTCATAATATCTAAGAATGTTGAGTGGCATGCCAATATCGAGAACTCTAGAGAGATTTGAATTCACGATTCACACTTACTGGGAGCGCGTACATACCACTTCACCACCGAGGCCTTGGTCTGCTATCACTCTCTGCGATTTGAGGATCGAAGCTGCCCTTGTTCTGCTACCTCGTATCCGCTCTTGTTTTTTATGTCCTCATCAGCACAAAGAATAATCGCAGAGCTAGGGCCTCGGGGGTGTAGTGGTTTGGCTCCCAGAATGAATGAAATTTAGGTTCAATTTCCATTTTAAGTCTCAAATCTTGTATATTACCAGCATTCTTGGATGTATAGTTATGCCATTATGATATTGCTTCAAAAACAGCAAGATAAAGAATTGTTGTAGATGTTTATATCTTAGATTCACCTTGGTCCACCTCATGATTCTAATTTTGGCTATTCTTACGCCAAGAGAATGATTGATGTATTGAATCGTGGTTATTCTCAGGATTATGATAGAAAGTGAGTTTTGCTGATGGTTTGATCGTCAAAACTGTTTAATATTTTCCATATTAGATCCGATCTTTAGGTTTACGTCAGTGATCCCATGTAATGTCTTTGGTCCTCATGACAATTACAATCTTCAATCCGCGCATGTTCTTCCTGCTCTGATACACAAGACTTTCATAGCTAAGAAGGAAAACAAGCCGCTCATTGTTAGTAGAACGTATTGGTTTGTTTCCTTTCCGGTTCCTGTCGTATTGAGTATTTTTGAGGTGTTCGGTACTGGTCGTCCACTTCGTCAGTTCATCTACTCACTTGATCTTGCACGGTTATTTATTTGGGTTCTAAGAGAATACGAGGTTAGCCGCCTTACTTATTGCTTTGTGTTCATGTTTCATTTTTTGTGAATCTGCAGGAAATTGATCCGATCATCTTGTCGGTCTCAGAAGAGGATGAAGTAACAATTGCTGATGCGGTAAATGCTATTGTGAAAGCATTCGATTTCAAGGTAATTTCTTCACCTAGTTTTTAACTTCATTCAAAGTTTCCGTGTTATTTCGTCATTACATCATTTACTAACTTTGATTAATGATTTATTGGCGCCGTAGTGGAGTGCTTAGTGATGTATGCTACCAGGTATTGCTTGGAAACAAAGTGCTGGTTCAACCCCTTGCAACGCTCTCGGCCTGATTATGTGGCAATACCTTAGTTCGGGCTGTTTCAAAGAATGCAAAGAGAATTGATTCGTGTAGTATTGAATGACATTTATGAAGAACATGACAATTCAAAGGCAGTAGCCGAGGCAACACGCGAAATGTTCGAAAACTTTTCTGGAGGTGAATGCGGAGAAACTAATCGAGTGCAAGAAGCGCTAGAATCCGCGTAGTAAAATGTGACGGCGAGTCGTGTAAAATGACAAATAATAAGTTGTTTGTTCACATTCACATTTATTTTCAATGGTCACATTTGAAATATTTGAATGAGATTCAAATTTATAAATTTTCACGCATCTGTTAGTTCTTCAGTTTTGAAGAATTACACCTTTTTGTTTCGAGTGTTTTCTTAAGACCACTGAAATTTCGATATATTTCATAGTTATTATTTGAGCCAACATGTCATGTGGTCTGTTAATGGGTCTCTTGTAAGCCCAATACATGTGTTTCGGTCTTAAATAGCCTTGTCAGTCGGGCAGAGCCCTTCGTCTCTAGCCAGTCCTCAAGAGGTTCCCCAGTCTCCCATCAAGAGTAGGCGACGACGAACCCTTTATACTATTGCCGTCAAGTGAAAAAATTATTAGGTCGGCAGTGTTGCACACTTGATTGTTCTTGACTGTTTTATCTCGAAATAACGCATCGTTCGTTTCGAGTGTTTTCTTAAGGCTACGCTCAAATTTCAGTATATCTCATAATCAGTATTTGAGCCTGCTCAAGGCCGAAACATGTGTATTGGGTTGTACAAGGACCCATTAACAGACCACATGACATGTTGACTCAAGTGATGATTATGAGATATTTGAAGAATTGTCGCTTACACAAACATATTGGTACGCGAATTTTAGGGTGAAGTGAAATTCGATGCTTCGAAAGCGGACGGTCAAATGAAGAAAACTGCTTCGAACGCAAAACTGAAGCGTTATTTGCCTGACTTCCGCTTCACCCCGTTTGAGGATGCTATCAAGGCATCTGTGGGATGGTTCGTCGAAAATCATGCGTCAGCTCGACTATAAGTGATAGATTGGGTTGTGTAAAAGTAGTGAATGGGGCAGGGTTGAGATGAGGAGGATAGGGAAAGGGATAACGATATTTTCTGGTACAGTAGGGATAGCAATGTTTTTTAATAGGATAGGGATAGGGATAGCGAAGGTTTAACATTTTTAACAGGGTTCAATTTTTAGTAGGTTTTATATAGTAGTATTTTTCTAACTTCTGTTCTGTCTGATGTTAACTTTAAATCTCTGACGTTCTTTCTTGTGATTTTTATCTGTGATAACACTCTACACGTTGTTGACAAGTGATAAGAAATTTTCATGATTCTAAGAGTTTTCTTATCTTGTATTTTTTGATGCGGTTAAGATAAATATGCGAGTATGGTGCTGGGACTATCTAACTTTGTAGGATAATGATAGTGATTGTAATGCATTATCAATTTTTTTCTACTTAGTGCTACTTATGGGAGAGCCAACATCGAGTGATTGTGATGCTCGTAACCGCGTTCGGGGCTAAGCCTCGCCCCACACTCTCCGGCAGTCAACAAAGAACGTACTATGGAATGCCACAGCCAGGCTATCCTCGAGATTGCATGAGGCGTGTTCCACCAGTATTTTACGGACATTCAAAAAGGAAGATAAGAAAACGAACTGAAAGTGGAAGTTCTGGGATCCGCTGAAAGGAAAAAAAAACATTGTGGAGTCGGGTTAATAAAAAGCCGAAAGTGCTACTTTTATGTACATCATGACGTGATTAGATACGAAATACTTGTAAATTGGTGCAATCAGTGCTATTGCTCAATCACGTTGTGGAAGTATAATCGTAATGCATGCTTTGTCTTCATATAGGAAACGACCATCAGCGCATGCCACGACAAGATTTTTCACATAACTGCTTTTTAGCAGTAGTGTGATGTAAAAATTATATATTTGGTGATGAACAGGTGATGTGCGAAAGTTATTGCGTCAGGTGGGACTCGAACCTACATTTCAACCCGTATCAGGGGCCCGTACTCTAGCCCTTGCACTAACCGACGCCCGTTTTGGACACCACGCTCTACGCTACAACGCATCTATCTGTCAGCAAACAAACGTCAACTATATAACTAAAATGTTGAACGATATGCGAGAACTTTGAGCCTCGGGCGATGATTGGACCTGCGTTTCTACCCTTCCGGAGGTAATACTAATCATGCACTATGGAAGAAACACAATGATCTTTAATCTCATGTGTTCGAATATGATAGGAACATTATGCATTCGATCCAATTCATGAAAAGTCACGAATGTTATAAGATGTAATCACAATCAAATTTCTATCGAAGGAGCTAACAGCGCAACACTTGACACACTTGACACTGTCCGAGATTCTCATAATTCGTGCATTTTCCGAATAAAATCAAAAATATGAACTTTACACATTGTATGCGTCCAATTTTACAATACGCTAGATCAAGTCGAATGTGAATCGACTCAAAAATATTTAACCATAAACTAGATTAGACTAGAATCTATAGAATTTAGAAAAATAGGACTTGTAAACTCAGTTAGATTAGACCAAAAGGATAAAAGCTCTCGGCGTTAATTTATCCCTGAGGGGAAACGTCATGCATTCGTCTTCACTTTTTAACGTCTTTTGAGGTGATTGAATACATATCTGGCTTCTGCAATGACTCGTAGTGGCCTATCGCCGTACCGATTCAGTGCTCCTTATCCTCCCAGACAAGTCTGAGACCAGTCTTGTACCAATTTAGCGATCCCGTAATGACGGATGGTTTGGTGAGCCAATGCACGCGAGGTCGAACCATCCATCTTGTGTGCGACGCAGAGCACCTTTAATCACTGTGCTACGTGCGCACCTTTAGATTAAACTAAAGTAAGATAATTGAGTTAACTTCAAATCAAAATTTTTTTCTTTTCAAATTTGCCAACCACCTCCCTTCCCTTCTTCTCTAAACAGGCCAGGAGATCAAAGGGAGAAAAGGTGCTATAGCGTGATAGCGATGCATTTATTCTTCCGGTTTATCTTGCGTCAACGCTTTCTCCTTTTCTATGACGTATGATTTAATCATTTCGTCGGACCGAGTCCTGTAGGACGCCATTGCCACCATGAAAATAGAACGAAATGGACATGAGTAGAACGATAATCGTGACGTATAAAAGAACATCGTCGAATGAGGTCACCATATCTGAGCTTTTCTTCCAGTTCAAACGGTCCGATTCACTGCAGATAGGAAGAAAAAGCAGACCCATTTTGAAAGGAAAAGTACGAGTACATTTGGACAATTGACTTGAACCATATTTACTATGGAAAAGGCGAGACGTCGAAAATTGGGCGAATAAAAAAACCTTGTAACTGCTTCATGTTAGTTCAGCAATCTAACGGAATCTTGATTATGAGGTTAATAAAACTAAGCTCTTTGACATAATATGATGGAAAATCACAAGAACAAATGTGTTTGCGGAAAGATTGAATGCCCTGGATTCTACTCACACGGCTACAGTATACAGTGTAGTACTTTTATAGAAACAATAGTTTGCCATTTCTCACTTCCATGCACTTCACGGACATTGTCTGTCATTATGATATAAAGTTATTGTAATAAATAGTTGAAGATTATTGGGGCATAGGTAAAAGGTCGCTAAGGTGCCTTCATCTCACGGAAACTAATCGGAAACACTGTAAAATGTCAGTCGGAAAAATCTAATATATATTGCATTTTATCGCTTTGGCCTATTCGACAACCCATTCCTACTTGCTCTTACTGAGTTAAATTATTACCTATTAAAAAGACGCTTCTGACAGCAGCCGTAAATTTCAAAAAAGAGGCGTTATTGGCCATTCTCTGCCTCAAAAGCTTACAAGTGTTTTTTTAACGCGACTTCAATCCGTTTTTTTCATTATCTTTTCATTCGAAATCACTATGTCAGTTCACTAGCGTGTTATACATTTAAGATCTGTGAGTCTTCGGTAACATTATTTGAGCTAGAAGTATAAGACACTCGATTTGATAAGCGTTCAAATCTTAATAAACGAGCTGCCTCTCAAAACCATTTTAAGCTTGCAGTTATCGCACTGGGGAATGCTGTATTGAAGATGGTAGAGAAATGATCGATGAAGCTAGAGATTTATAGGAATTCCGTAGGCTTCGAAGCACACCATTTCTTTGCTTCAAATTTCTAGGGGAACAGAGTATCATTTTTATTTCCTCTTGCATTAATTACTTGGAAAAAATATCAAAAGTAAATATGAAGTAGGGCTCCACTACTATGAACTACGAAAAGTGAGTGATATTTACGACGTATTAGTATGACGTGTTTCCGCAGAAAATCTTTCACTCGAGTTGCCGCATTTACTGAAGCTGGTGGCAAATGAACGAAATCGCTGTGATTTGAAATCTACGAATGGTCGTGTGGTAGAGCAATGAATGTGTCCATGTATCTCACTTTCAGAATAAAAGTTCTTAGTAATAAATTCCAAGACTTCAATTTTCCAAAACATCATATGTTGTGCGGTTCATTGCGCTTCATGCAATTTCATTGTTTTCTTCATGCGTCTTCCACAGAGTTCGTTGGGAGTGTCTGTGATTTCCGCTGTTGATTGAGGATTTCTGGTATTGTTACCTGATTAAGCTGATTCTTTCAGGCATCCTGGAATAGATATGCTGGGGTGTTTTAAGATAAAGGCTACTTTTTGAGAGGACTGGCTGAAGACGAAATGCCTCCCACCTGACGATGCTGCCAAGGCCAAAACAAGTGTATTGGACTGTACAGGTGCCCATAACAGACCACATACAAGCTCAAAAAATAAGTATCAGTTGTACCACAATAGATACTGAAGCCGTGTGAGTAGGATCTACGGCATTGAGCCTCTCCGGAAACACATGCGGTCTTGCGATTTCCCATCAAATAATGTGGAAGAGCTTAGTTTTTTTTTTAACCTCATAGTCAATACTTTGTTCAATTGCTGAGCTAGTATGAAGTATGCCTGATAACCATTTTTGAGCCACGCATATCATGTGGTCTGTTGAAAAAAGGGCTGACTTATAGAGCCCAATACATTCGACCTTGCAGTCTCGTCAGTCTCAGTTAGCCTTTCTCGTCTTTTGCCAGTCCTGTGTGGGTGCTCCAGTCCCCACACTAAACGTTAGCAGCAACGAACGTTTAACACTATATATCCAGTGAAATTATCACCGAACACAGAGTGTTGTACATTCATTGCTTTTGGCTAGTAAATTCAACATATCATATCTTTCGTTTCGAGTGTTTTCTTAAGACCACAGCTCAAATTTCATTATGCCTGATAACTATTTTTGAGGTACGCATGTCAGTGGCCTGTTAAAGCGATATTATGAAATAAAAAAACGAAAGATATGATATTCTGAATATACTAACCAAGAGCAATCGAGTATACAACACTCTGTTTTCAATAATCGGGCATATTGAAATTTGGGCAACGTTCCGTTTTTCGCGAAAAGGAGAGAAAGCCGTTAAATTCAAACAACGAAGTTCCAGAACTACCATAAACTGGGAGGTATTCAAATCATTAGTTTCTTGAGAAGATACCGTTACCGACAACATCGACGAATAAAGCGAATGATTCGTTGAATATCTTCACATTAGTGCTGTGAAAGCCGAGAGTCCTAAAGTCACGAATAGACGCTTGTCTCCGCAGACACTCGAGCTGATACGTCAACGTGGAATCGCACGAGCTACAGGTAACCGAAAACCTTACGTCCGATCTTGCGAAGCGCTGCAGAGAAGCGATAAGAGAAGACCTCAAAGAGAGACGAGAGAGACGAGCAGCAGTTATGGCAGAAGCTGCAGAAGCTGGGAAGAGCACTCGTAAAGGCCAGCGAGGCTTCGCCAATCATAAGACCAAGATGACTGCACTTCGCTGCCCTGACGGTACACTCACAGCTTCCAGAGGGGCTATGGAAAAGAGTACTACTTGGATCCCTTCGCTAGCCATGTCCTCTTACCGTCATATAATTGAAAGAGGATGAATATGTCGCTCCACCGGTCCTCTCTTTCAAAATCCGACATGCTATATCGTCGGTAAAGAACAGAACCATACCCGGTCCAGACTGGATTAGACCAGAACCCCTGAAGAACCTACCGCCAGTTCTCATCAGCACCCTGGCTTGGCTCTTCACTGGCTACCTGTCAGAATGCAGGGTTTCCATTCAACGATAAACCAGCAAGGCCATATTGTTGTTCAAGAAGGGAGACCACGACATAGGCAATTATCGCCCAATCTGCTTGCTATCCGTTGTCTATAAACTCTTCACTCGAGTCATCCTGAATAGGATTGACAGAACACTGGACGAAGGACAGCCATGCAAATAAGCAGGGTTCCGGAAAGAATTTAGTACCATAGACCACATCCACACGATTACGAGCCTCGTTGAAATTTCGCGAGTGCAAAATACCGCTCTGTCTCACTTTAATCAATCTGAGAAAAGCCTTTGATTCAGTGGTAACAGAAGCGGTTGTAGAGGCTCTGGATAACCACGGGCATCCCTACTCGGTACATAATGATCCTTCGTGAGCTGTATAAACATTTCACGACCATAATATCTCCATTTTACAAGAATATTACCTTCGAGCTAAGGAGGAGGTTCGACAAGGCGATACAATTTCGCCAAAATTATACACTGTCACCCTCCAAAATGTCATGCAAACATTAAAATGGGAAGATATGGGAGTGAAAATTGACCGTCAGCAATTAAACTATCTTCGCTTTGCTGATGATGAAGTCCTCGATAACACCAAACATCAGCCAAACGGAACGAATGTTGACGATTTCGACAACGCCTGTTGAAAGATGGTCTTCAATTATATCTAACGAAAACGATGTTCATGAGAAACGGATGAGTCTTGAATGCCCTATTCACGCTCATCAACGAAAATTTCCGAATGCTCCAGTTACGTCTATCTAGGTTGTGAAATCAACATGATAAACGAACTAGCTCCAGAGCTGAGCAGGAGGAAACGAGCAGCTTGGGGAACGTTTAAGAGCATCGAAAATGTAGTGA